GAGGCCCCCTCGTGGCCCAAGGTATTCACAATACACACCGCTCAATACCAGTCGGTCGGCAGTGCTAGAGCAAGCATTGGCCTCGGAGGTACTGCCGTCCCGAAACGAGCTTCGACCCCTCCTAGGGCCGATACAACGAAATCTTGCAGGCTATAGATATAATAAAAAAAATATAATAAAAGCATGGCGTTTTGGAACGGGCCGTTCTGAATTCAGAACGGCTCGTTCTAAAATCAGAACGGCCTGTTCTAAAACCAGAACGGTCCGTTCAAAAATCAGAACGGCCCGTTCTGGTTTCAAGTTTTTTCAAGGATTTTGGCGTCCACGTGCGCATCCATGTGGCTGTCACGTGACCAACAGTTAACTCCGTCTAAATCATTTGGACGGAAGTCCCAAATTGCATTAATTTAAGTTATTGAAGACCAAATTGAGACAAAAAATTAAAGTAGAACTAAATTGAAACAAAAAAACATTATAAGGGGGATTTTTTCACCATAATTACTTCCTAGATTTGTTTAATTAACCCGTTTAAGGGGGATTTTGATAAGTATATGTTGACAAAAGTGAGATAACACTATCAAAATATTAAAGGATTCCGTAGAGCATAGCTGTAGTACAAATATACGATTAAAAAAAGAATTTAACTCTGTGCAAACAGATAAAGTAAAAATTTGTTGATGAAAAAAAATAATGGTTAATATTTGAATATATTCATAATTTATTTTGTGTATACGTAACATTGAATATTAATTTTCTCATTAATAATAAAATTTAATTTTCTAGTATATTTCTCATTTTTAAAGGAGTTGAATCCTTTACAAATAATCCCTATACAAGTAAATACTGCTGTCAAATATTGTAGAATAAATTAAGCATTAAAACTGCGTAATTAATAATTAATATAATCAGAAATAATTTTAAAAGGGCATTTTTAATTTGAATATAACATTATATTTAATATATACATAACATGGCCCTCCAATGTTGTCAACAGTGTTAGTAATAGTATCGAAGGCAAATAGTGTAGATGGTGAAAAGTACTGGACAACGAAGCCGATGACTAGAATAAAACAATTGTAATTAAAAAAAAAAAATAGAACAATTGTAATTAAAAAAAAAATAGAACAATTGTAGTAGCAAACAACAATACCCGGAGATAAAGTTAAGGATTATGATATATACACCTCTTTTTTTTTTTTCTTTTTTTTTTTAATTTTTATTTTATAAGTACACCCTTTTTTAAAAAAAAAATAATTAAAATTTTAAAATATTTTTAATTTTTAATTTTTTTAATTTTTTAATTTTACATTCTTAATATTTAATTTAATATGTTTTTTTACATACTTTTTTCCCTTATTTTCATACGTAGTCCCTTAATTTTTCTTCATCCCCACTATTTTAATAGGTAATTTTAATTCTTAGTTTTACATTATTTTTTTTCCCTTCCTCTTTCAGTTTTCTCACTGATTTCATTATCCGCATAATACTCTAGAATAGTGAAAATGTCTTTTTTTAACACTAAACTTAATGTTAAGGTTTTTGGAGGGATGAAAGAAAAGGAAGTGTTGAAAAAACTGTGTGTATAGTTTGATAGAAACTGTCGAGAAAGCTACACATACCTACAATGTTGTCACCTACCAGTTCTATGATTTGGGTATATATGAAAAAATGAAAGAGGTGAAAAAATAAGAGAGTAATATAAAAATCGAGAGAACTAAAATTACCCACTAAAATATGTGAGGAATTAGAAGAAGACAAGATGGTACATGTGAAAATTAAAAAAGAGAAGGAAAAAGGTTTGTGAAAAGAAAAAATAGTTAACTAAATATTAGAGATGTAAAATTTAAAAATTATAAAATTTTTAATTTTTTAAAAAAACAAAAGAAATATAAAAAAAAGGAATTGTATATATCATTAGCCTATAACTAATTTGATGTCAATTGTACCAAATTGTAGCGAAAAGCCCATAATAGGTACTCGGAAGCAAATTTTGATCATAGCAATAAGCCCATAACTGACACGACCCTTTCCTAGTTTTTTTTTTTTTAAAAAACAAACATGCTTTTTTTTTTTGGTGTTGAAACATGCTTAAATATTCTTTTGATTTTTTTTAAATAATTTTTTTTTTACAAAAAATTATTTTTTGCATTCATCACACCTTTCTCCACTTTTTTTCTATCGAAACTTTATCTCTCTGATCACTCTTCCTATGTATCTTTTATTTTTAGTTTTTTAATTTCATTTTCTCTCTCCAATAATCAAGATATTTACTTGCTCATCCCGATTATTTTTTAAACACCATATTTTTGCACATATAATTTTAATATTGTTTAAATTTTAATTTTTTACTATCTTCAATATTTCATACCTTGAATATAATTTGAGTTGTTAAAATGAGTTTCAGCTCGTGGATCAACCTGTCCCACCCTGAAAACAGGTTAACCTGGGTTAAAAAAAATGAAAATTTTTCATAAAGAGTCAAAAAATATAACGTACATTTTCGACTCAGTTCACCTAACCCATTTACACTCCCATCAATTCAACTTACTAACAACCCACTTTATCCATTTATTATTATTACATATGTATTATTTTAACAATATACCATATTTTTTTTGTAGATAAAGATAAAATTAATGTTAAACAACATGAAATTGTTATAAATTTATCTACTCAAACATCCAATATAATTTAATATTGATGAATAATCACTCTTATGAAAGGATTTTTTATATTTTTGTTTTGATTATTTAAAAGTTGTGCACTTTTTAATTTAAATTTAATGTTGTATACATGATACTTAGTTTGACAATTTTTACTTTAGATTAGAAATTATTTTAGATTAAAGTTTATTTTAAATTAATTTTTTATAAAATACATAGTCTTGAATGTGAGTTATGAATCTAACTCAATTCTACACAATTAACTTATAAGACAATGATTATTCTCCATTTATATAGATTATTATGATTTTATTTCTAGATGATATGAGATTTTTAACACATTTCTCATACCGAAAACTAAACATATTGAAGGTAAAGTTTGTAAGATTGAATATTTGTAGGTGATTGGATAACGATTTGATGGAAAATAGTTTGATAAGGTCAACAAGACTCACTAAAATAAAATTTAATATCTTAACTCAATTCTATAAAGCTAACTCGAAAGATAAGAATTATTTTTTACTTATATATTATTTAATTATTTTATTTTTAATTGACGTGGAACTTGAATTTTTTTCTAATTAATTCATATATCAATATTTCATGAAATTCAAAAACTTCTGGATGTTGTATTTGTCCCTCGATACCGAATCCTTTACATGGGTATTGGGTTCTGCTGTTTTACACCACTTGTGTATATTTTCCGCATAATTGCTTTATTCTCCTACGAATTTAGAAAAACAACAATTATTTGGCTCTGCTAACAATGTCAAGTTGAGAACACGAAATGTGACTGATGCTTTTAAGAGGGAATTGCAATTTGTTTTTAGAATGTGTTATTATTTCTCTTTCAGCATAATAATCTGGCCTATATATTGTTATATCAGCTCTTTGATTTTTCTTTGCAATGTGATATCAATCTTTGATGGTAAATTCATTATCTGATTAATCTAGTCTAGACCATTTGATTCCGGTCTCTGGCTGCAACATTGTTACAATTCAAATAGGCTAGAGAAGATAGAGACAAATGATGATAATGGGTAAAAGTTCTGGAATAATGGATTGCTGGCAGCCATGTAGCACGTGTTATTTAGTTAGAATCTTTTCTGTTATTTTGCTCTGCCACCTCATCTTTTGATTGTATAGTTTTTCTCTCTCTGTAACCTCCCTTTCTTTTTCTTATTCCTGCTGCCTGTATATATTTGGCTCCTTTTTCATGAATAAGAATCAACATGGGATTGTTTCCTTCTTGCTTCTTGATATTTTATCTTTGCTGAAGTTTATGATGGTATCAGAGCTCTTCCATTGAAGAGCTATGTTGCGCTGCTCATACTCTGTTTCTTCGTTCCTTTTTCTTCATGGCTTCTTCTTCAATCTTCAGTGAAGGAGCGGACTCTCTAGCTAATGTTCATAGCTATCTTTATTTACATCCCAGTGAAAATCCCGCTTCACCTCTCGTATCACCTCTCCTCGAGCTCAATAATTATCATACATGGAGCAAGTCCATGGAAACAACACTCAGTGCCAAAAACAAATTAGAATTCATAGATGGAAGTGCTTCAGAACCACCTCTTGATGATAGGTTTCATGGTGCATGGAAGCGATGCAATAACATGGTAGCTTCATGGATTGTAAACTCTGTTTCTCTCCCAATAAGACAAAGCATCGTATGGATGAACAAGGCAGAAGACATTTGGCGCGACTTGAAGTCACGATATGCGCAAGGCGACCTCCTTCGAGTTTCATAACTACAACACGAAGCTTCTTCCATCAAGCAAGGAGACCTCTCTGTAACTGAGTATTTCACTAAGCTTCGCATATTCTGGGACGAATTGGAAAATTACAGACCTGAGTTGGTTTGCAAATGCCCAACTAAATGTTGCTGTGACGTGGTTCCTAGTATCACTCAACGGAGGATAGAAGATCAGGCTATGCAATTCCTCTATGGCCTAAATGATCAATATAGCAACGTTCAATCTCACATTCTTCTCATGGATCCACTTCCTCAAATCACTAAAATTTTCTCTTATGTGGTTCAACAGGAACGACAATTGCAGGGAAGGAATTTTGCTGGAAACATCTTTATTGAAGGTAGACCTACATGCACTTTCTGTGGAAAGGTTGGACACAATGAGAGTTCATGTTTTAAGAAGCACGGTTTCCCTGAATCCAAGGGAAATAAATCCAACTATGGCAAAGGAAACAAAACTTGCTCTCACAGTGGAAGGAGTGGTCATACTATTGATTCATGCTACAGAAAACATGGTTTTCCACCTGGTGTTAAAACGCAAGCCAAGAATGGACACCCCAATGTAAATAGCACATTGACTGAAGAAGGAAAGAAAGACTCTGATCAGACTCAGAAAGGTGAGGAACAAGAGTTTCGTCTCACAGCCCAGCAATATCATTCCCTGATAGCCTTAATGCAACAGTCTCAATTTGGTGGCTCGAGTTCACCACAAATCAATCAAATAAGCTCCTCTATGTCCACATCCGTTCAACCTTCCAATGGTAATCTCGTTCTACTTAACATCAACACTCATCACACAAAGGCATTTTGGGTATTAGACTCAGGTGCTACAGATCATATATCCTCTTCTCTTTCCCATTTATTCACATATTCTCTCATTAAACCCATTGTTGTTAAACTTCCAAATGGTGACCATGTTTATGCCACACATTCGGGTGTAATTAAATTCAGTGATCAATTTGTTTTATCTAATGTTTTGTACATACCAAATTTTACCTTCACCTTAATCTCCATTTCCAAATTAGTTTCGTCTCTTCACTGCAAATTAACTTTTCTCCCTAATTCTTGCTTTATACAGGACTTGAACACATTGAAGAAGATTGGTATAGTTGAGATGAGCAATGGATTATATATTTTGAATGCCAAACCTGTCACCAATCCACCTTCCTGTTCTGCTGTTACTCATCCTGATTTTAGCATTATACCTATAGATCTATGGAATTTTCGTTTAGGAAATCCTTCATGTAAACGACTTGAGTCCATGATAAAACAATATCCTTTCATCACTTTCAATAAAGAATTTACATGCAGTAGTTGTCATTTTTCAAAACAGAAAAGTCTCACTTTTCCCTTAAGCATTTCTAAAACATCAAAGGCTTTTGAATTGATTCATATTGATATATGGGGACCCTGTTCTGTGACTTCCATGTTCGGACATCGTTTCTTTCTGACCATCGTGGATGATTTTACACGATATACCTGGGTTAATCTAATGAGTAGTAAAGTTGAAACAAGGAAAAACATAATCAATTTCATTGCTCATGTTGAAAGGCAATTTGATACTAAGGTTAAAATTATACGAAGTGATAATGGTGCCGAATTTTTGATGAATAATTCCTTTCAAGAGAAAGGAATTATTCACCAAACTTGCTGTGTTGACACTCCAGGCAAAACGAGATTGTGGAGAGAAAACATCAACATATTCTGAACGTTACTCGTGCTCTATTGTTTCATAGTGGGTTACCACCTTCATTTTGGTGTTTTGCCATTCAACATGCAGTCACACTTATAAATTGC